GTGCAAGACAAATGCTTTGCATGACTTCTGATTGTTGGTGTATATACGAGTTGTCACATTTGTGTCATCACTAGTGTCAATGTGTTTGAATTTGATTGTTGCAATTATGGATTGTAATTACAAAGTATGACTGGTAATCTCAAATTTTGGGCCTACTGGTCCCAGGCTAGTATTATCTGCATCCTCGGGATGAATTCGCAGAACAGCCTGGTGAATGCGATCACTATATTCACATTCATCATACTGACAGATGTCTGGTCTGACCTTTTCGCAGTGTTTTGTATCTAATCTGTTGTTCAAATTTCTGGCAGCCTCATCAGGTCATCTGTCTGTATATATTGCATTGTTGCAACTTTGTACTGCGAGCACATGTATACTATTTGAATACCCAGGTCTGTGTACTGCGCAATTCACAGTTTCTGTTGCGCCACATTAAAAGTGCATTTAGAGCACCATAAATTGACTTCTCGGCAGCTATATTATAAGCTGCAACAAAGTGGACTGTGACATTCTTCAGTACATTTCTTATAATATGTTTTCCCTTGTTCTAAACAACCATCGCCCTCCGGGCAGTCCTAGACCCCAAAATTGCATGTAATAGGTTTTACATGGACGAATATAAGATAATGCTGTGCATCATCAGCAATGTTCCACACAGCCTGTAGTACTCACTCTCAAAAGTAAGAGACGAGGAAAAAAAATTGAAAGTAAGAGATGAGGAAAAAAAAAGTGGAATGTCTGATTCGGCATTTTTCACTGACTATACAGGCCGGGAAAAGTGGTCTGGAAATTTATTGAAGTTGAAATTTGAAATTTCCCAGTCAAAAATGACATGACAGAATTAGAATTAGACTGAATCTCAGTGAATGTATGATTGCCAAACAAATACACTGATATAATCAAAAATTTCTCACGATTGAAAACAATTGAGATTCTGGACTTTGACTCTGATCTGATCGTGAACTCAACTTGACTTCAACTTGTCTTGGTGTCTCGACGACAGTCTGGATGGAATCCTGGTCATGTGATCAGTTCCCCAAAATGTTGCCGCCCCAGCACGACACACTACATCTCCTTGTCCTCATACCACCTCCATCCCAGTACCACCAAGAACTTTTTACAGCAAGGCCCTATGTATAAATTTAACTGACTCTTCTGCAGGTCTGCTTGTGGACTAGAAATGGGGTTCAAGATCATCCCACTGGACACAAGGTGGACTTCAACATCTTCTACAAGGACCTCCTGGAGGATTGGCAACGGGTAAGGTTGTTTCTCATATTCTCTTTATATTTGCTAACCCTTATTTTAGAGATTATGCTTCAGATGCTGCTATTATGGTAAGTACACAATATTTTATTGGTCTGCTAGTACTAATATTATACTATTTTGATTCTAGAAACTCAATGCATGATCATTTTGGTTCGGCAGATATCATTTTATTTCATTTTCGAGTAAATTGCTGTAATTTGTTGCGTTTCGTTTTCCAGCTGATTTCATAACAACAGACCTATCCAATGAGTTAGTGTACAGAGCGGAACTACAAATGAGCTTAAAATGTAGTAAATCTAAAATTTAGGGAGACTAGAATATTTGGCTCAGTACCAAGTGTGGCTGGTGTGATAAGTGTGATAGCCCAAGTCTTTGAAAAAATTGGTGTAGACTATTCGGTGGAGTGCTCGCCAAAGAAAAAAATTGGTATCTAGAAACTCTGAGAGGATCATATCAGGCTGTCTTTCAATGCAGCCTTCAAGGAACTAATCAAAAACTTGTTTTATCAGCACATCAAAAGAATAAAAGAAAAAACTGACACTCGCTTCCAAGCCATCAAGGGCACAAGACCGTCCTTGACAAGCTAGTTGGTGTCCCACTTCACCAGTATCCCGGTGTTGATGATGAGAACTGTTGTTAGAAAACCACACACAAAACAAACCAACACACAATCCTCCCAGATTCCACGGAACTTGTTTATGGGCTTTGCCTCCTAGAACAGTGGGTGCTCTGGTTGTTTGTGGGGTGGTATGTATGATAATCCTTCGAAGTCAAACCCAGAGATGTATGGGTGTGGGTTTTGAGGAGGAGGGATAGTTGGAATGTAGAAGATAGGGGGCTTTGTGGTGAGTATAGACAAGCACTACCTTGCTAATGGTAGCACAAGGCAGGTTTGAGAATGACAAGATAACGAGGTTCCCAGTGATAGCAGACTCCTGACGCACAGACTGTAGTGCTCAGAAGAACTCTAATCAAAAGGGATGACAATTACTCTCAAAAAGTGACAAGTGACGATGACAGCAGTTAACAGTGGTAGCAATGGGAAGTGTTGTGATCACACTGGATCACAAGTAGCAGAGTAGTGAGCTTGAGATTAGAGAAGAAGTCTGAATTGGAGTTCTTGTTGTTTTTTTACAAGGTAAAACACAGGGTTTTATATAGTAAAAGAAAGGGAGGCTATGCACAGTATAGCTGTAAAAAAAGAATGAGAAAGAATATGAAGAAAGGAATGTATGCTGATGAATCCTGCGTAGGTAGTACAGGATAAGATCGTCAAAATAAGGAAAAGAAAGAGATAGAACAATGATTGCTGTGTAAGTAATGTTACAGGTTTGTACAGCCATAAAGTAAAGTCCAATAGCAGAAAGAGAGCAAGAAAATCATGATGTCATGTGAAGATGCAGTAAAAAAGGGCAAAGCAAAAAAAAAATATCAGTATCAACACAGTTCCTTTATTGTCAGTTAGGTATTCTAAAATAATATGTGTCCATAAAAAATGATTCAAAAATCAAAAATAATCGCACTGTAAATGAATGTTCTGCTGAAAAAAAGAAACTGGAGCCACCGGTCCACCACCTAGTCCAAATCCACAGTTCCATGGCCTTACCAATGGACTGGTTGTACTGGACCACCTGGTCAAACAAGGGAGGGAGGGGAGTAGTTCCAATTTGGAACAAGTGAGTCCCAGGCAGCGTGTGGTAGGTGTAGCTGTAGCAAAGACGATGGACAAAAGATAAGTGTACCCAAGTGAATGGGACAGCGATGTACATGAGCGACGCAAGGGGATGAACCTTCTCCAGCTCAAAAACTACCCACCCACGCTCCAACCAGGCGAGACAAGCGACCGATGTTTTGATGGTATATGATGGAAGATTGATGTCATGAAGATGGACCTTTTGCCCAATTTGGACCGGCCACCGGGGCTTTGCTGATATCAGCAGCGGCACGTGGTGGTTGATGGATTGGCGACGGAAATGGATAGAAAGTGGTGACATCAGATATGGTGGGGGAGCAAAGAAGATGAGGAGGAGGGTGGAGGTGACAAGGAGGTGAACCAGAATAGGGATCCAGAAGCGACCGTTGGGTGAGAATAAAAAAGAGAGTAAGGGTCCCGTGGTGGGACTGAGTAAAGAAAAAAAAATAAGGGAGGGCGACAAAAGCGAGGGTGCAATGTGTAGCCAGTGGCGACACGAAAATTTGCCAAAATGCCAAAATGCCAAAAGTACCGAATGGAAAAGCAAAGGTGAACGCAACTGGATTGCCTAATAGAGGTGGTGCTGATCAGCCACAAGTTCGAAAAAGGCAATATTAATTACTATTTCACGTGGCACTATGCCTGTGTGGCGCAAAGGCGAGTCTTTTTGAATATTCACTTCATTCTTGACACCTGTCCATGCTACCAATCAACTTTGGTGCATGACACCGGAAGGTCTTCCGGATGCACCTGATGGTCCGTTGACTGATTCCTAGGTAATGGCTAACATGTCTGTCCGAGAGGCCATGGATGCAAGACAATTTGTACACTAGTATCTTCTGCTCCTTGGGAATATGGTGCCGCATGTTGGTTGAGGGTTGACTAGTCTCTCCCAGACACTTCGGGTTCTTCCCAAAAATATACACTCCGCTGAAGTCCGCCTGCACACTAACTCATAGGATACTATCGTTGGACACCGGATGCAACCGGTAAGAGATATGCACTTGGGCCTCCAGAGGCTCAACGATCACTGTACAGGTAGCTAGAAAATTGTCAGATGTAGAATATAGTATAGAGAATATAATTGTGAAAGAATTTAGTGAATAGCTTATCTGTAGCAACAACGACAGACCTGACACTATGCTCTTGAACTCCAGAAGTGTGAATTTTGAGGGAAAGATAGCCAGATTTGACCAGATCTCGTGCTGGTAATATTGCAATATCTTTCTAGAAAACATCAATAGGTAGGCCCCTACAATGCCAGATACTTACTGAGCTGATTGGGGCCTCAAAGCATCTGGAGAAACGGAAACAATGATGGAGTCGTGACTAGGCGACCGAAACAGGCAATCACACACCAAGATAATCAATCAAGGACCGCTAGCTCCGCTTTGGTACGTACCACACATACCACCAGTGTCAGGACTTGGTGTGACCTGGCAGAATTTGACTTGTAAGCTCTGCCTGATTTGGTCTGTGAGTGCCGCTGTGACCCAGTGTGACCAGAAATTGCAGAACCATTCCAAAACATGTGTCGTCTTTTCGGTTTTGTTCCGCTGCTCCAATGCTTCAAGTTCTTGCTTATTTTTCTACATAGGCAGCTAGAAAACTAAAAATTATATCTCCTGGTCAAGTTCCGACAGTCTAAAGCTCAACGACTGGTGAGTTATTCAACTTCTCCCCAGACCAATTGCACCTATTGTCCAACGATAGTAGGTCTATCGTTATGAAATCAGCTGTCACATGTTTTTGATGCTTCCCAATAAATCAATAGCTTTCGTTTTCAATTGTTTTGAGTCTGAATGGTCCTGAAATCAAAGAAAGACAATGATTCAAAACAATATATTCAGTGTAAATATTCTACAATAGCTGACAATAATATTCTAAGGATTGAAACGGACATTATGGTATTTAGATAGATACAGAATGGTATATTCGGTGACAATCATTTTCTATCGGCCTAAATATTGTCGTTTCCGACTGGGTTTGAAACCTGGACCCCGCGGGTCCAGGAACTTGCAAATGTAACAGCAAAATCCGACAAGCAAAGGTCACGACATATCCTACCTAGCTATGTTGATCCATGCCCCTTGTGACGCAAGAGCTTCGGCATATCATGATTGTGTTATAAAAAGGAGCTCATGGCTTCCATGCGTACTCACACTTATCCTGTTTCTCACCTACTCGCTGCTTGATAGTCATGTCCCCCAATTCTCGAATATGGTTCGGTGAGTGCATTACTTGTTATCGCAGAAATTTCTCATCTAATTTATCCCAAAAAAAGTCACGGGTGCTTCGTCTGGGTTTGGAAGGTCGATAACTGAGCTATTACTGAAGCGGGGAGATAACGTCGTTGCCACTCTACGAAAACCTGAAGCTCTATCGGATCTCTCAGCACAATACTCAGCTGATAGGCTTGTGCTCGCAAAGCTTGACGTTACAAAACGTGATGAGGTGGTGGCAGCATTTGCTAAGGCAAAAGAGGCGTTTGGAAGGATTGATGTCGTATTCAACAATGCCGGGCAGAATGTTTTAGGAGAGATAGAAGGTCTAAGTGAAGAGTCTGCTCGCCATTTGTTTGATGTAAATTTCTGGGGCGCGGTCAATGTCACAAAGGAGGCTGTCCGGTTCTTCCGAGAAGAGAACAAACCTATCGGGGGTAGGCTCCTGCAGGTATCTTCAAGGCTGGGTGTTGTTGGTGGTCCTTCTTCAGGCTATTATGTCGCTTCGTAAGTGGATCAACACTTCAATTAGCCATTCGCTGAAGTGTATGTCAACCGATACAGGAAGTTTGGTAAATATTCGCAAAAGTATGATAGTCGCAGTTACTTATTTCCTTCCAGCCTTGGAGGGCCTTAGTGAATCGCTGATAAAAGAGCTGGAACCCCAGTGGAACATCAAAGTGTGTATTTTGACGCTTTATTCTAGGATATGTCATATTAAAGTGCTTGCAGGTCACGATCGTCGAGCCAGGTCCCTTCCGTACGAAAATTGTGCAGGAGAACTTGCGTGAAGAACCTCAGCATCCCGCATACTCCAGACCCGAATCAGCTAGCTCACAGTTCCGAACCTACATCAACTCAAGCGACTTCGGTGGAGATGCTGATAAGTTCGTGGCGGCTGTAGTGAGGCTGGTAGACGTTGATGAAGCTCCTGTGAGGCTCCCATTGCACAAGAGAACTATCATATCTGTAAGGGAGAAGGCACAGAGTCTCAATGATGATGCAGACAGATATGCTTCCTGGTCGGATGACCTGTATTTTGACTGAATGTTTGGCCCGCTGGCTTGCAATGAAATTGTTATCATGTTCTCGCTCGACTTGGGACATTTCGAATTCATATCCCAGTTTGTCCCTAGTCTAATTCTAATGCTGTCCTCCACCAACTGGGCTAAATTGGTAGACATCAAGGGTACAAGTATAGTGACAGCCAAATTTATTGCAAGGCTATGTCGCGATCGCACGGATGCTGTGCACTGATCCACAAAAAGGAGTTGACGCCGATATGATACAGTGCAGTCATCGGCAGGGTTAGATTGATCCGTACAGTGTCGTACTCAAATCACTGCTATAAAGCCTGAGCATCCAGCTCAGCGCGCGTTTTACTGCACTTTTCCCATCTTCTCTCTACACAATGCACGTCCTTATCTGTGGTGCAACTGGCTTCGTGGGCAAGCATGTACTTCTCGACGCCCTTGTCGACAACAGGATAACGAAAATCACGGTAGTCGCCCGTCGTCCTCCTTCTCTGGAAGGCTCTGACATGACGCACGATAAAGCGGTTATTATCAGAAAGATGAACATTATCATTCGCGATGATTTGGGACACTGGGACTACGAGAATGACACTGAGATGGTTGAGGCGCTGAAGGATTGTGCAGCCTGCATTTGGTAAGTCAGTCCAGCTATCTGATTAGCACCATCATTGGCTTATGATCTTGCCATGAATTGAAATTCGGTTTCAAGGTCTATTGGTGGGAGAGCCGACGATTTCCCAGATCCCGACACATACGAGCGCGTTTCATACACGTACACTATCAGCGCAGCCAACTTCCTTTGCAAAATTGCTCAGAACCAGTCTCACGAAGGCAGGCATGGACGTGAAGCGCAACCGTTTCGGTTTTGTTATTGCAGTGGAAAGTGGGCTGATCGTCATGGGAAAGCAGGAGGTGGGTGGTGGACATGGGAGGCGAAGACTCGTAATATGAAGGTAGGTAAAGATCGACTCTATCATTTGTGTTGTTCTTCCTACTAACGTTCTATTGTGATGGTTGTGTATACCAAAAGGGACGCGTGGAGGTTGCTCTTTTGTCTATAGCATCATCTGCCCCTGACAAATTTACCGCCCTAATATTCAGACCAGGCGGTATAGTCGCAGGGAAATCAGTCAAAGCGCTCAGCGGCATCACTTCGACGATGGCTCACGCGGGGCTCAAGATGATGCCTGCAATGGTCATCTACGTCGAGCGTGTGTCACGCGTCCTCGTCGATTCTTCCGTGGGCATTCGTGTGGAGTGGCAACGAGAAGGCGACGGGGGTGAGAAGAAAAACACCTGGGAAAGCGAGGAAATTATGACGTGGGCGGTTGGGCTTGGAGTTTGAGTGGGCAAGTTATTCCCCATTTTGCGACCCATCGTTGGAAGTATTTTAGGTTATTATCTTGGGGATTGTATATTTTTTAGATTATTTATTATTTACTTATTATTTTTTTTGGATTTTTTCTTCTGTATGTAATACATGTCTCCAACTCTTCAGCGCTTCAGCGGTCAGCTGTAAGTAAGGAGAAATATGATGACGATGATATAGTGGTCATTTGGTGACGAGTGAAACCACCATCATCGGTCTCATGGATTCGTATGAGCCCTATCGTGCTCTCTTGAGGATCGTGTGTTCCCATCTGCCAGTGGCTACGCCGGGAGATAAAATATATCAAGGGAAATGCAAGTCCTCTACTGCCAGCAGCTCTCCCTCCTGCGCATCGATCCACGAAGTAGATCGAAGAGGACGATAGTATTCTTCCCGCAAGTTCAGTACGAGTCTGCAACCCATGATTGTGGTTACAGCAATAGAGAAACCTTCAGGGACTTCGAACATGTCTGCCTAAAAGAGATGTGTAAGTCGAATGGATTCTCGAACTAGAGACGATAAAATCAGCAGACTACTACTCACGGGTAACGCCAGCCACATGCCCGCGCAGGTAGATAGAGTACTTGAGAGTATACACGTCAGAAAAACTGGGATCGAGACGAGCGATGCGACATACAGCATAAAATAGAAGGAACTGTCCCGGATGAGTACTTCGAAAATAGAACCACCCCTAAGGTATCTTAGAGCACGCATCTCCTTGACGTGTTTGATCCCCATCCAGACGGCGAAGGAAAACAGAATACTCTCATAAGACATCATGGCGACCCAGGACGAGTATAGAAAATCCGGCAGTGCTTTGTATATACAGGGATGCACACCATCTATGGGACTAAGGTCCGCTATGTAGATGGATGAGTAAAAACATATAGTAGAAGGATGTGGACTCACGATAAGCACCCGATCGAGCAGACACCATCTTCACAGCGAACATGAACGCTACTTCAATGATAAAACAAGCCGCAACAAAACATATGATTTTCTTGGACCATTGGTACATTGCATATATTCTGAACTGCATGATTACTGAGGATAGGAGGTATCAGTATCACATTTGGAAAGTATGTGTAACATACTTTGCATTGTCCATATTATGATTGTACTTGCCCATGACTGAAACTCGACGTACGTGAGACCTATTGTTTTGAGATGATTTGAGTATTTACGGAATATAAACATAAATTGACCCACAGCTAAATAACAATGGTGCAGGTTATCCGTGTTAACTCAGCATGGACGGGTGGAATGAAATTTACATACAACTGTGAGGGGATGGGTGAACAAGAGAAAATGGAGAGCACAAGCCAACACACCTGAGGAGGCACCGACGACAGCATGAACACTGAATCGTTGAGTGATGCCATTGAGTCAGATAAGAATCATTTGATTTGGTCTCGGCATAGCAAACCTTACCACAAGTATCGCATCTGGAAATGGAATTTAGGAGATGTTACGGAAATATAAGGGATGCTCACATCAGAACAAGGTCACCAAGATACCGGGTCTGAATAGGTGATATGAGCCAACAAGTTTTAGTGAACAAATTTGTAAGACGGACGTACCCATATGAACAAGACCTTCAAAAGCGACCAGCGTTTTTGCTGGAGCGGCCGGATTTAGAATAAGACTACGTATGAAAGAGAAAACGTTTACCCATATGAGCTCTACCTGAATTATGTCCGGTAGTACATAAGTCAAGGACGATAAAAATGTGAACAAAAATTAGACGTACTTCTTGATCCAGAGTGATCACTACAGAAGGCAAAGACAAAGCAATTAGCCCCGAAAACACGCCGACTTTAATAAGATTTATTTACTGTGATCATACAACGTGAGGATAGTAGCTGAGACTGTAACAGCAGTCCTCGTCAGCATATGTTACTATCAGACAAAACTCCCCCGCACTTACCATGACAAATACGACCTAGATTTACTGCCCGGGCGACTTCCGCCATGTAGACGGTGACGTGGAGAACGTCAACACAAGTTGAACGAGAGATATGTCGGTAAAGACAGCCTGATATTTCTGGACGACAACTAGATGGTACCCGACAAATGGTCGAGCTCAACTGATTTTCAGTTCCAGGTAGGTCTTTATATGGTTGTTGTGTAATTTAACTGAAAATATCATGACATCGAGATCTTCAGGCGATATCATATTTAACTTAGCTCTCCTGACCGCTTATGCAATGTCACTTATGCTTCGACCGCCCGACCGCACTGGCCCAGTTCTAAAGCCCCTTCGTTGGGCGGAAAATACTCTGCAGTATATCTCGTGATAGATTTTTCTGCAGTTGGCTGATGTGCCTCGCATTAAGCCTATGAACGACTATCAGATGGTGGGACAACAAGCGTAGGGCTGCGTAGGGTCGTTGCAAATAGGAACGAAAAAATTAACCTTGTGATCTAGCCGAGTTGCAGTGTGTCGGTCGGAGGACGGAAGTGTTTGATTCAGGTATTTGATAAGACGCTGATCATTAAAGCAACAGGATCCGTAAACTCACCTATATATTTGATATGCAGAATTGCAATAGACGTGTATTGCCCAGGTATCAAGTTTTCGCGGTCGTGGCTATCAAGGCGAATATTCCTGCGATCAAACAGTGGGTCCATAAATGTGATTTTAGCCTAAGTGAGTGGTCACCAAGTCACTGAAACTGAGACACGCATGTTAGCTCAAGTTGGGGTTCAGCTAGAATTGAATTAGAAGATGCTATAAGAACGGGTGCAATGACACCTCCAGAAACTCTTACAGGGGTACTTACGCATGAATGTACGTAATGATGTCGACGGTTAAATATACAACTGTGATCTTGCATATGAGCTGCAACTAAACATGATCATATATCTGCGTAAATGCGCTAGAGGTATATGTTACAGAAGTTTGGGGGACATATCACAGCCTCGGTTTGATCATCTCCTTCACACTCTCTGGATCCAGCACGGCACGAGGATAAGGCAGCTGGAACGTCCTCATGTGCTCCACTCCTCCGTCTATAGGTATAATCTGACCCGTGACATAAGACGCAGCATTGCTGAAAAGAAAGACAGTGGCGTTGGCTACGTCTTTGAGGTGACCCATTCGACCCAAAGGGTATCTCGAGTCTCCGTCCTCCTTTCGGACTGTCTGATTTGATAGCCGTGACATGCCCTCCGTGCCTCCAATCGGACCAGGGGCAATAACGTTCGAGCGGACGCCACGAGGACCTTCCTCTACAGCGAGAACGTTGGATAGTGCGTCGACTCCTGCTTTCGCTGCTGAAACATGCACCTGGTATGGCGTGCCTATAGTTGCTATTTTAGCAAGTGTTTTGACGGTCTAAGATAGATATTACCTTTGTAATGCAGCGTGGCGCTGACGTGTATATATGAGCCTTTTGAAGCTCGGATATGCGGAAGAGTGGCTTTCACAGTATTGAAGGTTCCGAGCTAGTTTGGTTAAGTGTTTGGAAGCGTGAGGATATCAGAAATAAAAGCTTACAGTATCAATTTCTATCACAGTCTTGAAAGCGTTTTCGGACATTCCATCAATGGAAGCAAGGAAATTTCCAGCCGCACCTAGCCCAACGTTATTAATGGAGTCCAAGATCGAACCTGAGGCTTCTAGTTCACATACCACATATGACAAAATCTATTCTTCCAAACTTTTCGATAGTTTTTGCAACCGCGTCCTTTAATTGTTGTGGTTGCCTGACATCAGCCTGCGCAGGGATACACGTTTGTCCAGTTGCCTCTGAAAGTTCTTTCGACGTCTGAGTCAGACGATCTAGCCTGTGATATGTGTAAGCAACCACAACCGAAGAGGCGTGTCTTGCCGCTTACTTTCTCCCAACAATAACTGCATTAGCGCCATGGCGCATCTACGCGGCCACGTCGACGTTGGTCATTAAGTACATGCCAGAATACGATGGTTGAAATCAGAAACCACGTACCACAGCTTCTGTCATGCTCTTACATATACCGGAACCACCACCGGTGCAGAATAGCACCTTACCCTTGAATATTTCAGGCTTGAAAACATCCGTCGAGTCCGTAACAATGGCTACAAATGGCTCTGGTGACATATTCGTTCAATAACAGAGAAGATGTATTCAACTGGGAAAGGGAGATGGTACGGTGAAAGTGGGAGTCAAGCTCTCAGATTTCAGGCTGTGCTTTGATAGTTTATGTCACCGGGAAACCGGGACCCAGCAAAAGCCCGGTGAAAGACAATCTCGGGCACAATCACTCAAAACCCGACTTGGCCTACCGCTGTGAATGTGTACCACATCATGGTTACAGCATGCAGCTCCAATGCTATGGGGAAATGACTAGACGCTTCGTTCTACACTACGTGGAAATATCTAACACGAATTTTTGCGAGGCATCCTAAGAAACAAAACCCCGATGTCGGCAAGGGCCTGCGATTCATACAACCCTGATTGAGCTCTACCATAGTCTGAAGGCTTGCTGAACGGCTTTTCATTGCTAGACGAGGTCCGGCTTGATGCAGAGCACAGTAGACGGTCGAGTTTTCTAGTTGATTCCCTTAGCCTCTCGGCTTTTCGTGGAGTAGATTCAACCTTACAACAGCAAGATGCGGACAAGAGCAGGGGGCATACCAAAGTACCCTCGCATCGGTGGAGGCATTCTGTATGCCAGTATATCTGCCGAAAGGAGTAGTAATATACAGGAATAGCACACTCACAGGATACCTCTCCTATGGCTTTCAGATGCTATTATGTAATCACAAGGAACTCAATCGCTGTATTGCAACTCGCAATAGACGTACTCACCTGGAGGCACCAAAGTCTCCAAGTCGATGGCGACGACTGTGCTAGAAGAACACACATTGAGCACACTGCCCACGCCTCGCTGTAAAGGCATGTTAGAACACCCGTGTGCTTCTTCCGAGCGTCTGCGATTGTCTGCGATTAGTAGAAATTTGGATAACGCCCTTAGGGAACCGTCTGATCCGCTGGCAAAACACTTTTTGCATGGTCTTGCGTATACTATTGGATCTGCACTCGGATCTACACCCCCTTCTCAACAACAATGTCTCGATGCATTCATCATGCCAAACAAGGTCGGGCTTATGGCAGGAGCCCGAGCGTGGTCTAAACACTTTCACCGTTCTCAGGGAGACGTGCAAGGCAGTGACGAGGGGATTAAGGGCAAAAGCGATGGGTGGTGGGGAATGCCGTCTGGGCCTGTGGGAGTTATCAACGAGAAGGCATTGAGTTTGTTCTGGAGGGTGATGAAAGAAGCCACATGGAAGAATCTGCACTGCCTGCCTCATCAAGTGCTGGTTTATGAAGTAAGGGTGGAAGAGGGCTATGGGATGAGATGGTCTCAAGATCGAAGCGCCGTGAAACACGGTTCGCAGGAAGAGCCTTCGTGGTTGTTTCGAGGATTTGTGGAGCCTATGATGGAGAACGGTCATGAAGTTGGCTGGAAGCACTGATGAGGCTAAGAAGGAATGTTAAAAAGGTTAATTACCCGTGTTGTAGTCTTATTATTCTCCAAAACCTCATTACTCCTATAAGCAATGACAAAAGAATCGTTAGGGCAAGTGCAGTTCATGGTCCTCCTGAACATATCAGCCTAGATCAGATAAGCATCTTCTTTCTTTTTCCATCACAGAAATGGGGTGGCCGGAGAGCGATACGATACAGCATTCGACCACTTCGACATCTTCTACGGCTGTCCTGTGATGCCCTCGAGGCGTTCGTTTGCAGCAAAGAAATCGACAATATTAGCAATACTGTGATGGTCGCGTGACACTCATAGACCAATGTGTCACGCTTAGCGCGTCTATCCTCCTTGACAGAAAGCTCACACTGTCTCCTTCAGAGCTGCCATCCATTTCAAGGTATCAAACAGCACTTGTATCCCTTTCTCGAGGCCGGCACTGAGGATTACTTACCTGTGTATTTATTCATCCAATATCGACATCTCCAAAACTTCGCTTTTTATCCCCGATGAATTCACCTGGTCCAGTTAACTCTCCAAAAAATTCCAGTCGATACTCCCATGCACGCGCAATCCTTGGACCAGAATTATCTAAACGTCTTCCAGAAACGAGAGTGTTACTTGTAGGCGCGGGTGGTATTGGTTGTGAATTGTGTAAGTTCTATCGTCCGGTCGTCTTGGGCGTTCCTCTCCCTGTGCATATCTGTGTACATATATGTCTATTATCTCATTCTGACCTTTATTTATTTAATTCATCTCAGTGAAGAATATAGTTCTGACCGGTTTTGGTCATATTACGCTACTTGACCTTGATACTATCGACCTCTCCAACCTCAATCGTCAATTTCTTTTCAGAAAAAAGGATATTAAACAGAGTAAAGCTCTCGTAAGTCTTCCACTGTCAACCTTAAACCATTTCTCCGTGCTCGCAGTGTTCATTTTTCGACCGTGGCCCCTTAGGTGGCTGCTCAGACCGCAGGTGCTTTCAATCCCAATGTGCATATCAATCCGATTCACGGCAATATCAAAGAGCCACAGTTCGATATCGAGTGGTTTCAGCAATTTGATGTTGTTCTGAATGCTCTTGACAATCTGGGTATGATATTTGCTATTTCTGAAGCCTTATCTGACATGTGAATTCTTCTCTTGTGCACTAATGTAGATGCTCGTCGGCACGTGAACAAGATGTGCATGGCTGCTCAAGTACCTCTAGTTGAATCAGGCACAGCTGGTTATCTAGGCCAAGTGCAACCTTTATTGAAGGTAAGCAGAAATACAGCATATAGCTATCTATCTATACTACTTGCACATCCTTTGCATTGTCTAAGAAAACGCTACATTATATAGGACCGCTCAGAATGCTTTGATTGTATACCAAAGCCTACTCCTACGTCCTTCCCTGTTTGTACGATCCGCTCCACCCCGTCCCAACCCATTCATTGTATTGTATGGGCCAAAAGTTATCTACTACCGTAAGTCTAACAAGCTACATAACCTCCTTTACTCAATCTTCTAAGACGATGAGTTGAACGGCTTCCACTGATATTCTAGACAATTATTCGGAGAAGATGAAAATGCTGGCACTGAACTGGATGACGCCGAGAAGCAGGGTGAAAATGGTCAGTACTAATTTCCCGACGTTTTATTCCATGGCTATCCTGCTTCCTTTTTTGGGTCACTTACCGTGTATTTTGTAACAGCTCAAGAAATTGCTACTCTTCGTAGGGAAGCGCAAGCTTTCAAAGCTGTGCGCACTGCTCTGCGGTCGGAGTCAACCGCTGCGGATGCATCTCGCATGGCATTTCAAAAGGTGTTCAACTCCGATGTACTCAATCTTCTGTCTATGGCCGACATGTGGCGTTCACGAGTGCCTCCTCAACCACTAGATTTCGACGCGATCAAGGAGGGGCAATTCAAGCTGAAACACCAAGCAAGCAATACAGCTAATCCACCTGCCAATGGGAAGTCAATACCACGTAAAAATGGAAGCGCTAAAGGTAAACATGAACCCACCAACGGAAACAATGTAGAGCCATCCGGTTCTCAAAACGGAGCAGGATTGAAAGACCAGAGAGCTCTTAGTCTCCAAGATAATCTAGCTTTGTTTGTATCTAGGTGTGTTGCGTCCAATTTAGCTCCAAGTCATACTCGTATATCCTTGCGTGTCCGACCTTGAGGCTAACGATGTGTTACCATACCCAGCACCAACCGCCTGGCTGCTCGTCTCCAAACTGGCAAAGAAGACACGATATCATTCGACAAGGACGACGACGACACATTAGATTTTGTTACTGCCGCTGCCAATCTTCGCTCTGCTGCATATGGCATCGAACGTAAGACACGATGGGAAGTCAAAGGTTCGCAGTCGCATGTTTCCTCTTGTTCTCTGATCGAGACTTGTTTACACGTAGAAATGGCGGGCAATATCATACCTGCGATAGCTACCACCAATGCTATCATTTCTGGATTGATTGTCCTGCAGGCACTCCATCTCCTCCGTAAATCTTATAGCGCACTGAAGAACGTTCATCTACAATTCAAACCCACAGTTCCTCTTAGCACGATAAATATGTGTCCCCCAAATCCAAAATGTGGTATCTGCAGGGATACATATGCAAAAGTGCTCTGTGACCCATTCAAGGTCACGTTGGGGGAATTTGTGGATGGTATTCTCGGTGATGGGGAAGGTGAGGGTCAGGGAACAGGCAAGAGAGAAGTGAGTGTGTACGAGGATAAGCGGGTCCTGAGTGATCCAGACTGGGACGACAATAATGCGCGGACTCTTGAGAGTCTTAATGTCACGAGGGGCAAGTTCCTGACGATCGTAGACGAAGAAGGCGAGTGGGGGACGATCTCGGTCGCATTGGGTGTGCTTCCGTGAGTTTGATTTTTTGAATTTATCCTTTATCTCACTAATGGGACCATACAACTCCTGTTATCTTAGCGCCGATTATCCCACTAGCGGCCCTGCATTTATCTTGCCATCACCACTACCAAAGCCTCCGCGGCAAGTTCGACCATCTACACCGCCACCACCTGCACCTTCTCTCAAGCGTTCTGCTCCTGACGACGACGACGTATCTGAGATTGAGCCTTCGTCGAAACGGCTGAAAACAAACGGTGACGTCACGAGCCCAAACAAGAAGCGGAAGCTAGACGAAGATGGACTTATTTTGTTAGATAGTGCCAACGATAAGATGTTGGACGAAGATGTCATCGAGATAGATTGAGTTTTATATTTTTACTACCTTATCTTTGCTTTCAGTACTCATATTCTTAGGAATCTTAGTTGATTTTCCTAGGTCAACGTTGTATTCTTTTCTAAATATTCTGCTCTCAACATCGCTACTTCTCCATATCTATGGTAATGATACACTGTTATCATACATTCTGATGCGGCTGCAAGAACATTGATTTCAATCCTGATCGATTCACTCAATTTGGCTGTCAGCCGCACCCCAGTCGCTTATATTCTTTTTTCTGTCGGCCTCCGAGCATCATAGGTTCAACTCCTCCACTATCATACCCCGACACCCAAGTACACAACACGCTCAATAAATTTTCCCAGCTTCGAATCAATCATCCAACAATGTTGGCTGCTCTTTCCTTCGCGCTCCTATTTATTACCCCCTGTTTCACCTTGCCCGTGGAGTTAATGGGTCACGATGTTACTGTCGCTGACGAATTTGCAGGAGTGGTGGTCGCCCATTTCATAGTCGGGAACACATACGACTATACCAACGAGACATGGATGAATGGTGAGATTTTGGGTTAACTTTGTTTTGAGCTGCTACTCACCTTCGTGTGCCTGGTAGATATCAATATCGCATCATCGAGTAATATAGATGGGTTCGCGTTGAATGTTGGTGCAGACCCTTGGCAGCCTTCAAGGGTCCAGGATGCATATGATGCTGCTGCCAGTTTCGTTGGCGATTTCAAACTATTCATATCGTTCGACATGACATCTCTACCATGCTCCGAATCTAATGATGCAATACTCTTGCGTTCATATATTACTAACTACACTTCACATCCAAACCAGTTATACGTTGATGGAAAGCAAATGGTGTCCACCTTTTCCGGAGAAAACTGCACATTTGGAACCACAGATTTTAATCAAGGATGGATGAATGCACTCAAGGACGGTGGACTACTAGATCTTTCATTCATACCGGCCTTCTTCATCCCACCTGCAACTCTTCCAAATGTGACTGTAGCCGATGGAGCGTTTAATGTAAGTTTTAGCTCAATAAACTCCAGTGACTAGTCGGCTTATGCGAGGATATAGTGGAACGCTGCTTGGCCTGAAGGTGACAGCGACATTACTTTCAACTCGGACAGCGAATACATAGCAAACCTTGGCGGGCGTGCCTACATGGCAAGCGTGTCCCCGTGGTTTTTCACAGTATGTGCTACCTTCGCATTCTCTCTATCACAGTATTCAGTATTTTATTAAGCACTATGGATCAAACTCGTACGACAAAAACTTCATTTACCGTGGGGACGATTGGCTCATTGCTGAGCGCTGGGAGCTATTGGTGCAGAATATGGCTGACATCTCAGTCGTTCAAATCATATCATGGAATGATTACGGGGAATCCCACTATGTCGGACCTATGGAAGGTAGTCTTGCCGGATCTCAAGCTTGGACTGATGGGTTTGATCATCAAGGTACATTTTTACTTGCTCGGTTTCTTACCCCATGATTCGAACGATTGCAGAATGGTTGACCCTAATGAGGTATTACATCCTGGCATTCAAAGTCGGCAGCTTTGAAGCTGTCTCAAATGACTACATTTATATGGGCTAGATTGTACCCCGCCATGGCTGAGGCCCCAGATCCTGTTGGTGTCCCAATGAACGCCGCTTACGTGAGTATTTCGGTCCGACTGTTTACGCTGGATGCTTGTGCTGGAACAAAGGACTGCGAGCTTGCTTCTAAGTGCGCTTTGCTCCCTCAAGGGGACCTATCGAACATCATTCCACCCAACCCTTTGATTCTTGAATTATCATAGGCGCTGATGGCGGAACTTTAACTCTAGACTCAAGACTACCTTTGGGCTATGGCTTTCCTCGCAACGCCAGGGAACGTTGTACTTACGTGCGGCTCTACGACAGAGACTTGGCAACTGTCAAGTGGCGTGTCCAAACTAAAGTTACCGCTCAGCTCCTCGTGTAGCGTCCAAGCATCGATCAGTAAAGATGGTGTCACAACTTTGAAACTCAATCCACCTGGATTCGATTTCTCAACGAATCCGCCGTCGTACAATTTTAATGCTTTCGTAGCCGGATCTTCACCACTCATCTCTACCCCACCTACATCTGAGTAAGTATGTCATATCCACGGAAAGCGGATCTCGACGTCAAACCTCACATCAAAATTTCCCGTCATCATGTCCTTCGCTGCGACTCAATTATGATGACCGGGCGGTACTCGCTTCATTTTGCCCAATATACCCAATATACCAAAGCAGCGAGCGCTCGAGAAATTGGCGCCGAATCCACAGGCTTCTTCCCCTTCTTCCGTTACGGTGGTCGTTTGGTTACGGTTGGAATGCCGGCGACGGCATCGGATTTCTTTCAACGACCGACAATTTCGATAGGTCTCTTCGAATATTCCTAAGGGCATGACCATATCTGTAAAAATGAATGTAGTATATTGTGCTTATTCTCATATGTGGTAGCCTGTATTTATTATATTTACATTGAAAAAACAGAAAAGTAATCAACGAGCAGGAAACAAGAGATGATAATGCCGGTGCAAAAGCGAGAATACCTGGATGAATCAGTAAACACGGATAATATAATAACTTACAATATGTGACTGCCCGTAAAATGTGGGTGGCAACTGTGGCAACAAGTGATAAAGTCATAAAACAAGAATAAAATAAAAACTCACATTTTATCCACAGCACCAGGGTTGCTATACCGTTATATGACCACCAAATTAGCAACATTGTATGGCCAGATTATCAGAGCTGAATGACAGGGCTTGGTTAGTTGACTATAGTGCGACAGCCTAGTCTCCCTTGCTGACCTAATTCAATATATTGATGATAGTCGATCAATATCTTGTAAATAAGGTCTGCTTCAAAATAACGGTGGCGTGCAGAGTGCCCCCCTTCGGTGTCAATACAGCAAAAACACGAACACTATTCAAGCTCTGTTGATTGTCAGCAAGCTCAGCACTCAGCGAAAACTCTATGCTAATCACTATGCCTGCCTCATGTTGGGTCAGATGAAACTGACCATTTGCACCGGTGTACCTCATCCAGGAGGTCACGTCCTTCTGCCTGGGCAGCCTGTGACAAAACCGGATAAACCCGGTCTCTGCCGAAGCAGCCATTGTTCTCCATGGAGCATAGCCACCACTCCATGAAGTAACCATTGTTCTCCTAGGAGTCATTATACTGTAGTGAGTAGCACCTCTGACTATAAGTAGTAGGGGGTTTAGTATAGGAATACCTCAGTCGTTTCTATAGCCTCTCGGGCAGCGGCTGAGGTATGTTACATTACATTTATTAGAGATCACCTTAAACCAACATCTATTGTAGTTTCACTTAGGTAAATAATAAAGTCATTTCTATAGCCTCTTGGGCAGCGGCTGAGTTTCACTTAGTTTTATTAGCCTGGACACTGTCCGAGTGTACAGCTATGGCCTTGATGTTCAAGTTGACCATCTCAGCCGCCTATTCTGTTTGGTAAGCCCGGTTATTTGTGGTGGTTAAGCTACTCACCTGAGTATTTCCCAAGGCAATGAGAGGGGTTACAATTAGTATAACTGGTGTTGTCGGTAAGTCTTCAACTCCATGTACTAGATTTGCAATTAATTCTTGAATTAACAGTAGCAGGCCATAGAAGACAGCCGTTTTGCCACCTCCTAAGCTTGTCGTTCTTGTGAAAGCCATTGGCTTTGTTCAGGTTGTATAGCTGCTATGCCAGCATTAGAATACATGTATCAATGTATCACCAGTATATATTTTTCCGTCTGATTTCACTAAGTCCTTGCTCTATCTACACAATATACTAAGATGCCGTGTTCCACGGTGTTTAAAATTCCAACCGTAACCAAACGACCACCGTACTTCCGTATATACATTATGCGTTAGTTTCAATTGCCAATCAAGTCACATTATGCAGTGCTACAGTGATCAGGTGAGAGTGAGTGCTACGGGATGTAATGAGCTTAGCTTTTCAGGCTTATTTACGTTCACACTTAGATTTTCAAATCCGCGAAGGATAGGTGCATGGTAAAATAATGTTGGCCGGTGTCAATTTGCGCATAAACTGCCAACCGAAAATCTATTTATGTGGCGCTGGAACTGAGCGGCCGTGGAAACCATATATGGGTCCGATTGGGTACAAATCATGTCCGACGGCTTCGTGTACAATTTACCCTATAGTTGGCTATTTCCAGCCTGCTTTTGTTATGCGAAACACTGGAGTCGTGACCTCCATTCCAGCAAAACAAGATCGAAGTTCCGGCGCAAGTCTGAGTCAATCAAACCCCAGTGGGTATCTTATGCGGCGTATGTATTACTGAAAGCTTCGGAGAACACTGGTTTTTGGCCGAGAAAAAATGGCGTGCTTCGTGTCTAACACTTGCCTCTCCATTATAGTAAGCAGTCTCCTCATCGACTTAAGAGTCGAGCACAGCGATATTCATATCATCATCTTCGCAGCGTTAATCCTCACTATATCTCATGCCTACAGCTACGCTTGCACCCCAATGTGCCCTCAAAGGATGGCATTCAGGAGAGAGAGCCATCCAAGAAATCATACATCTCCCTGAGCGGGTATCGATCAAGGCGATTGTTAACAGATTACCGGAGCAACATCGAATTTTCCACACCAGCCGCCTCCATTTTTTGCCCACCACTACGCTCGATGATCAGGGAAGACCATGGGCATCGATGTTATGTTCGAAAGATGGAGAGCCTGCATACATCTCGAGCCCTTGTGACACATCACTCATCATCAATGCCCGCGTCTGGGATGGTGATCCAGCCATTGATAACCTGCACCGTTTCAAGGAACGAAGCAGTAAAACAAATGTACTGGTGTCTGCTTTGGGCATAGAAGTGTCAACTCGGAGAAGGAACAAGTTTGCAGGAAGTGTTTCAGATGTTTCCTTTGATGGCGCAGATATGTGCCTTCAGCTGACTGTCAACCAAGCCCTTGGGTAAGCGCTTTCGCCATCGTGACCGTGCGCATGCTGAATGCCCATCGGTGCTGCAGCTTATGTCCCAAATATATCAATGTCCGCACAATTACGCCATATCCTGATGCTTCTCCTCAGCTGGTGTACCAGCAACTTTCAATGAATGATTATGATCGCCTGCCCGACGAAGTTATTGAATTTATACACTCTGCAGATACGGCTTATTTAGGCACGTCTTACGTTGCTCCTCCTGAGGATGAGCGAATGTATCCGTCGCATGTCAGCACTAACCATCGCGGAGGTCGTCCTGGATTCGTTCGTGTCCGCCCCAGCGATGGTAGAACAATAGTGCTTCCTAATTATGCCGGTGAATAATACCGTAGTCCTTTTTTACTCTATATAACTAATCGGTTTACAGGAAACCGCATGATGAACTCTTTAGGAAACATATACGTGACTCCGCTGGCAGGTCTCGTTTTCCCCTCATTTTCCAGTGGAGCCATTTTATACGTGACGGGCACTGCTCGCACGCTTTTTGGTCAGGATGCGCAACGACTTATGCCAGCTGCCAACGTTATTACCACAATTCGTGTCACGGGCTTTGCCTATGTAGAGAATGCTCTACCGATGCGTGAAGCTGTGGAACCAACGCGCAGTCCATACAGTCCACCTGTTCGGTATCTGGCAGAAGAGAAGCCTCCAGCCGCCTCATATGAAGATGTCATACTTTCCCTTCTTCGTGTAAACATTCACAATGACACGCTGGCAACCTTCACATTCAATACATCCAGGCCCATTGAAGTCAAACCTAGTCAGAATGCGGTATTGGAGTTGTCCGAGCTCCTTAGAGTTCGATCACACGAGTTTCTGGAATGGGAAGAGGGACCAAGTACCGAAAATGATGACTGTGTACGAACTTGGACCGTCTCCACCAATCCCACACCGATATCACCGTGCACAATGTCGCTCACAATCAGAACAATTAGCGGTGGTCTGATTACGCCGATACTTTACAAAATTGTTGATGACCACGCAGCCAAAGGTGCTCGTGGCGTCGACATTGACGTGACACCACTTAATATCACCGCACGCCTCCGAGGTATTGGTGGTGACCTGCCGGTTCCTGAACCAATAGCTGCATGTGATGGTGGCCGGCGACTACTCTGGATCGCAGGTGGCATCGGGTTGACCCCATTTCTTAGTCTGGCAAGATACGTTGCGGGCCTGGTCAAGCAAACTTTCGGTGTATGGGATATCGTTTTGGTTCTGTCAACTAGGGAACCGGACGTGATGTTGGGTTTGATATCAGATTCTCTTGAAGAGTTAGGGAGTACTGATGAACTGCCAACCCCACTTGATCTTTCGTTCGTCATTCATATGTTTGCTCCCGGATCGTTGGAGAAGCCTTCTACGCTTCCTCCTTTCGTCTCGCTGATTACACACAAGGGTCGCCTTGATGACAAGGGGGAACTATTCAGCAGGTTAGATGCAAAGCACAGGGAGCCGCACATTTGTGGTCCCTTGCCATTTGTGACCAGTGCGATGAAGTCTCTAAATATTGCTGGCGTGGACTCGGAGCACGTTCGTAGAGAACGATTTACTTACTAAACGTGCCCAATTGTCTGTTAATTTTTTTCCGTGGAGTTAGAATATCGATTGTATTCTCGGTAGGCGACAAGTTACAGGAAACACTTCCATCATATGATTGTTACGGCACCTTGGCAGTCCGTAAGTCGCTACTTCCATAAATGAAGCCTTCTTGAAAGAGCATTTTTTTCACACTTGCAGTTGAATTGACAATTCAAATCTTCAGAGCTTCCAGTTCACTTCAAATGGGGTATTTGCATACTGTATTCGTAACGAGGCACGTAATTCTATGATGTTACACGACTAATAAACTCATGTCTTTTGCGCCACACTGCGCTGCTGAGTCGGAAAGTTAGTAAGTTCAATCAGAGGTTTTGAGTGATGGAGTTACTGACCTCCTGATCTGCCTGAGTTATTTTAAGGGGGTCTTGCTCCGACAGACAGTGTTCCGGCGGAGGTAGCCTTCACAGCGTCCAACTCATCCATCTTTGCCATCCACTGTCTGAGCCGATCACTAAGGAGCTCTCCTTCAGGTACGGCTCTCAAGTCTGCTAAGAGTGGAAAGAGGAAAAAGTCTGCCCAACTCAACGTCTCTCCAAAGACAAATCCTTCTGGAGCCATCAACGCCTCCATCAGTGCAAGATGCTTCCGGAGTTTCGTGACACCTGGGTCAATTTTAGCACGAATTTCAGCATCTGTCAGTTTTCCTTCATCGTTCGCCGCGACACGAGGCTTCACGACACCGCCCTCGACTGCTGGGAATTCTGTTTTGAAATCAGAATCAATCGAAAAGGGAGAATAGGACGGACTCTTTACCATGCGCCCCTGTAAGGCTGACAAATTCCCACATCTGCTCTGTGATGATGGAACGACCATCACCTGCGGATATGTGTAAACTTGGTTCAGGTGCCACTCTGTCAATGTATCGCGCAATTGCTTGACTCTCTCGCAATTTGAGATCGACTCTTTTGCCATCGATCTCGTGGATGATGAGCGTGGGCAGGAATCCAAAAGGGTGATTTTCGTAGGCTGTCTCAGAGTGGGGTGTGACGCGAACCTGGTTGAATTTCAGACCCTTGTGGGTCATGCCCAGTGTGATGGACCGGGTGAAAGTGCTGAAGGGAGTACCGATGATAGTGTATGGGGGGGAAGCCATGGTGTGGAATGTCGATATGGAAGACAAGGTGGATTAGAGCCCTTGCTTTATTCTCGTCGGACAAGTCCGGTGGATAGCATCTTCGAGGACAAGGCAGTCCATGCTCCTTCTGAGTCACAAGGCCACCGTGGGCACTATCGACTAAATCTTCTCCTCTCTTTTGCATCGATTTCCAGCTTGACCCCACAAGGAAAGCTCAAACAAGGCGGCCCGCACTTACTTACGTAATATTCCGGTGTTAGTATTTACGTGATAGCCGGGCAAAATTCCTCGGATTTTTGGTTCCAGATAAAATATGATGATTTAATGATGATATTCTCACGATTCCCCGTGCTGTATGCCTTCAGTTCCGGCCGTCTCAGTGCCGCCTCGAGAGGCTTCAGAGCGCCTATGGAAGCGCATCTTAGCGGTAACGACAAAGGCCCCCGATGTTGCTGGAGCATGCAACAGAAGAACATCGGCAAGGCACGCCCCTTGAACGTTTGAACAACGCCATATGCCATATGGCCCCGCTCGCTATGCTTTGGTTGTTAATGGGCGCCTACTTTGCCGCGAAGATGCGACATTGGAGTCCCTCGTAATTCTTTCGGGGTCCCTGTCCGACATCAGAGGTGCCATCAGCCCCCACTGATCGAGATTTCACTGTCAGATCTACCCAACGGTAAATAAACTAAAATAAACGTCATGAGTCGCGACAGTTAGCAAATTTTCAGATCCCTCAAACCCGAATGCTAAACGCTAAGAAATACACAAAGATCCGCACTTCTCCCAAAATCAATCCTCAAAAATGGAAAGTAAAACTTCAAGTTCTTCAGTCAAATGGTTTGCATTGTCGTCGAGAAAATACAATCTAATATATATATTTGACTATTTGCCCCAAAGCGCAACTTTTGTCCACACAAGTGATGACACACTTTCATCTCCATAAGGAAGTCGTTGTGAAAGTAGAAGATCTGCGGCAAGTATATCCGCGACTTAAACATAGATCAATGTCTGTGTGTACATTGAACAAGTTAGCCTTGGTGCGTTCACAACACAGACGGAAATTACGAACATTTAATTTTAAGTTGCCTGCGATGGGCTAAGCTGTTCATAAGGGCACGAAGCCGGAAGGTTCTCGTCCAACAAGAAGTATTGCTTAGCCTCCCTTGAACCATCATCTCCGTAGTTCTTCAGCTCAGGGCTAACTGGAATAGGGTCATACTTCACAAGCAGTGAGCGGACCTTGGAGAGGGCACCAGCGCGCTTAGCATCGGTGCTGAAGAGGATATCGAAGATCCATTTCGGCTGGAAGACAATGGTGAGGCCCTTGGCATACCGCGAGTGACGGACTTGGTGAGCGGGGGTTTGGATGACGGTGAAGAAGGGCTCTCCGCCAAAGCAGAAGCACCATCTGTCGGTGTCGATGTCACGGGGAACGTCAGTGGGCCAAGGCTTGTTGTCGAGCTTGGCAAGACCATTAAGGAGCTTCCAGAACTGGTCGTTGTACTCGTCAACGGTGCAAGGCTGGTTGTTCTGTTTGGCAAGGAGGACAAGGGACGTGTTGGGGCCGAGGCCATGTGCTTGGGGTAGGTAGTCGGAGAGGGCGGAAGCGAGGGAACGGATGTGGCGGGGGTCAGAGAGGTCGTCAGAGTCGATAAACAAGTAAAGCTGGTCATCAGTCTTGAAGCCCTTGGTAGCATAGATGCAAGGGAAAATCAAGTCCTCGTTCAGGAGAACTCCTTTGTAGTCTTCATAAGCCTGGCGTTGCCAAGTTCCCTCTTTGTGAGTGGCCGCCACTTGTGCTCTGTAGTAGATATGTTAGAAGGGTGAAGATGTTGTGCATGTCTAGTAATCATCTACCTTGTCATCAGTCTGCCAGAATCATTGCTGTCTTTGCCCCCGTTGCTCTTAACCGAGTCCTGTTATAAATGTGTAAGCTACAAGTACCAAGGAAGACGAGCGATCACGACTAACATTAACGTTCAGAAGAGTGCTGCTGATGCTCTTCAGAAGTCCGGGAAGCTTGTAAGAAGCAGCGTTGGCTAAAAGTGTAAGGACAACGCCTCCGAACACGGAAGCAGCCAAAAACTGGTAGTCCATAGTCATGATGGGCAGGATGTTTTTGGAGTAGTTAGAAGTGGTGAACGACAATTTTTGACCGATGAGATGACGCCTTTAAAAACTATTCTCCCTTCCTGGAAAGGGAAATGCCAAGGGTCAGTTAGAATGATGACAGCTTAAGGTTTCTCGTACCACATTTCAAACCACGGGACGCTGACTTGGGCGCATAAAGATCTTCAAACGTGCAGGAGCCGATAGGCTGTAGTCAAGTGATGAACTTCTGAGAATATTGAGCTGGAGCCTGAGTCTGGGCTGACTGAACAACGTGAACTTACTCGGATAGGCTATGTTCCCGAAGGAGATGGGAAATTGCAGAGCTCGCAAATCACGAGGGGCTGAAAGCCCCATTCGAGCGTACCGCCTACGCCGCAGTGAAGAGTCACATCAGATCCAAAGTGACTATTGAGTCTACTCAAGGCCGTACGGTAGTAAAAACGGGGATAGAATATCCGAAAGCAAACCGCAAAAATAGGTAAACTAGGCGCATGATCCACGAGGATGATGCGGCAGAGGCAAGCAAAGCGGTGCCAGGGGGTGTTAATTATTGTCAGCGCTTCAAAGTGGATGGGCTTAAAGGTACGCTTCGGGTAGGTAAAGGTTACATATTCCTAACGCCACAAAGACATGCAAATCAGGCGTCAATGACACAAAACATGTAAGAAAGACGGCATTTCTGCACTCACCTGTGTTGCAACCCAGCGTCAACCACTCCTTCCGCTGGACCGCCGCAAGGATGAGGGATTATTTGCGAGTGCAGGGAGGCTCGTAGACGCGCCTAGAGATACTCATAACTGATGGGGAATCCGGCAGTAATTGTCATGCCAAATCGTTGCTTCTCGCACGAAAAATGTACTATTTGGTTGTCGATCTCATGGTGCATCGTCTTACTGCACCCGCGCTTATTCACTACAGGTGCTGCTCATGTCAGAGCACGCCATAAAGGGGGGATAGGTCGTTCGACGAGTTAACGAAGACAGATGCGACGGGGGGGAGGTTGGACGGTGTTGTGGATTTACAAGGAGAGAGAGAGAGACCGAGTATCACTTCCTGCAAGATCGGATCACAAGTAAGAGAGAAAAGGACGTAGTAGCTATTGTCGTTGAGCGAATGCCCAGACGGACTGAATGATACGCCGGCGGAAAAGGCAACGTAATACAAGATGGGATGGATCAGATGACCCTTTGGACGGAAGTTGGTCCCACGATGGTAGAGGATTGATGGCATCTTTGACAAAACACGAAAACAAATGAAGCTTCGCGTTAGCCTAGTTCGTATTTGACTAAGACCGCTTGGACATACTAGTATCCGGTGACCCTTCATGTCATTTGGTCCCTGTCACGACCAATACTACGGAACTATTTCCCATCTAGGCGGCTTTTGCCGCCCAAGTACCGACATTGTCGTTCGATTGCCGCGCGCTCAATCTTAGCCTTGGCTTCTTTGCTCAGCCACAGCGTTGACTACGGACCTGTCCCTCACCAATCGAGTAACTCAACACTGCGCCTGTCAGTATTTGCTTGATTTCCTGTGCTAACGTTCTCTTATTTCGCTTGCTTTATGGGCAGGATCCACAAGTCTTCTGACACCGTTAAATCGGACCAGTACACTATGCTGTGTCTTGCAATTTTTTTACCCGTCACCAACTAGTCTGACTACTAAGCTCGATCTCGCAACGTATATCACCTTTCGAGGGCAGAACAAAAAAAGCGGACCGCTTACCTCTTTGAAAAGGCTATGATCGCGATTTTACGGCACGATGGAACGCAGACGAATCAACCGCTTGATTTTCAGGGGAATCATATCCAAATTGTATGGATTTTTGCCAGCGGCGAAAAGACGATTTCCTGTCGTCAAGGTTCTAAGGTGAATTTATCAGCTTCCCCAATAAGTCATCTCGATTGACGTTCCCGTCAGCCGTTATAAGGCGGTCGCTTTCGATGTCTTCCCTCCAGAAGCACCTTTCCTCCACCCGACACAAGAGTAGGCAATGCGGTTCGCAACTTATTCAGCTCTTTTCGTTTCTGGCTTGGCCAGCGCCGCCGCTTCTGCGGAAAAGCGCGACACTTCCAGTGCTCCCTTTGACATCTATGATGGACCAACTGAACAGGATACGTTGTATAACGATCCCGCCTCCAAGCTTGAGTACACGCTGTCAGGTGGCCAGCCGTAAGTATCTTCATATTGTGGATGCCACTTAATGTGCTCATTAACGTCGCAGTTATCCCAACCCGCTGTACTCGGACCGTTTGGGAACCACTGGTCCCCTTCTCCTGCAGTCCACGAATCTGGTAAATGAATTCGATTTTCTCCAGATTTTTGAATCTCAGTTGACCGTGGGGAAATAGATCGAGCAACTTGCTCACTTCGTTCGTGAGCGTGTGGTGAGTTAAATTTCAACCATTTGCGTGCCTTTCACTACATCTAACTCCTACATGTAGCCCGAGCGTACTGTCCACGCCAAAGGTGGAGGAGCCCATGGGTACTTTGAAGTCACCACCGACACCGGTGCCAACTACAGCATGGCTGATCTTTTCTCGACTGTCGGCAAACGCACTCCTTTGACTGCGCGTTTCTCAACTATCGCCGGTAACCTCGGTAACGCTGACAGTGTCAGAGATCTTCGCGGAGCTGCTTTCAAGTAAGGTTTCTTCATGTCGTTGGTAGATCGTCTCTCATGAGATTTCTATTTTTTGTAGGATGCGTACTGATGAGGGTATCCTTGACTGGGTTTTCCTTAACCACCCTGTTTTCTGGCTCCGTGACCCCGTCAAATTCCCTCGTCAGTCGGCTGTTGATACTTATGAGGATTTCATCTGATATGTTGCCTCCTTCGTGATCTTCTTTTCCAGATTTCATTCGTTCGCAGAAGCGTGAGCCTCAAACCAACCTGTTGAACAAGAACGTAAATATCTTTAGATCCTTTTCTCACGGTACCTCCCACTTACTGATCCTGCCGAATCGCATGATATAGAACTTCTGGGGTATGTGGAGTTTATAACGTTAATGCCATCAACTTAAACTGACACGAATCTAGATTACCTCTCGGGAAACAACGAATCGATCTATCAGGTCATGCGCACCATGTCTGATTTGGGTACTCCTTACGGCTTCAGGTCAGATTACCTCGTTGTATTGTCAGAGGGGCGGTTGGCTGATTCTTGAGTTGCCAGACATATGAACGCCTGGAGTGGTAACACTTTCCGCGCCATTAAAGCTGATGGAAGCTGGGTTTACATCAAGTGAGTGTTGAATAGATCTATCAGACGTCTCTAGGCGCTAACACTTGCTCTCAGGATCTCGGCTTACACTGACCAGGGTGTGAAGAACAACACTGAGGCTGAGGCCGTCTTGCAGGCTGGCCAGAACCCCGACTTTGGTGTCCAGGATCTCTTTGACTCCATTGAAGCTGGTGACTTCCCAAGCTGGACTGTCTACTTCCAGACCATGACCCCTGCTCAGGCTGAAGCATACAAGTGTATGTCAAGGCGTTCTGTTCACATTGCTATTCATGCTAAGTCACTCATCCCGCAGACAATGTCTTTGATCTTACCAAGGAATGGCTCGTCGATGAGGTCCCTCTCCAGGAAATCGGCCGTATTGTCCTTAACCAGAACCCGTAAGTTATATTCGGTTTACTCATCGCGCCATCGTTGTGACGCCTTGCGAATCTTAGCACAAACTACTTCGCTGAGATTGAGCAGCTCGGTTTTGACCCTTCGCAGATGGTTGGTCCTTTCTTTCCATACCAGGGATTCAACTTACATAAGATTGCGTTGACAGCCCAACGGTTTGGACTCATCTGTTGACCCTACCCTCCAAGCTCGTCTGTTCGCCTACGGTGACGCTCAACGTTACCGCATTGGTGTTAACCACAAGCAGCTCCCCGTATGTATTCTAATTTCCGCCTGAATGTTTGAGTACTAAAAAGTAGTATCCAGATTAACTGCCCTCTAAACCCCACTGCCAACTTCCTGCGCGATGGTTTCATGAACTTCAACAACCAGGGCAAACGTCCCAACTTTGTTTCTCAGCAAGACCCTCTGAATGTTGAGCAGAACCCTTACCCCAACGAGAACCACACCGTTTGGACTGGTACCGCCCTCAAGTACCTCAGCACGCCTTCTGAGATCGACTTTGACTTGCCTCGTATCTTCGTGAGTAGTAATATCTTTACATGATACATCAGCCTGCTAACGTCGTTACCTATAGTGGAACGGTCTTTCCGCGACTGACCAGGCTAACCTGATCTCCAACGTCATTGGACATCTCGGTCTTGCTTCTGACCAGTCCATCAAGGACAAGCAGTGCGCGATTTTCAACCATGTCAACGCGACTTTGGGTCAGGCTATCGCCAAGGGTGTTAACTGCACTATTTCGTCGTAGATGTGGTTGGTTGCTGATAGAGTCACACGCACTTTCGTTAAAATTTTAATACAAAATTGGACTCGTGCTTTAGGCAAAATAGCATTACTCTTCATCTTTCGTTTATGTATTTACTCTGCTATTTTAATACGGGAACCACTTTTTGGTGTCTTGCTTAACTTATCAAAATGTCGTTTGTGATGTCTGTGAATGTTTGAGGCCATTTATCTCAGTCGTTCGAAGTAAAGGAAAACGGACTCTGCTACATAACAACTGGGGTTAGACTCATGTCTTCCATTACTGTTTCCGTATCCTTTTGGTCTTCGAACAGACAAGAGCCCTACTTCTAACATCGCGCCTACACTCAGAACTGAAACATACTTATTAGGATGTGCAATCCTCAGTTGCTTTTAGGATACCAACCTCAAACATCTGTAGAGCTCGGTCATATGCGTCCTTGTTGATAGCCATCTACTGGATTACAGGTGGTATAAAGTAGCAGAATGGCTAGTGATGGAGGTTAATATGGCTTCGGGATATTAGTAAATGGAGCAGTGTCTGGGATTTTTGGAAGTGCAACTACGTTTGGTGGTCACAAATACCCTTGGCGTCTACAAGAGACAGGTTATCTTGTCAACTTATGAAAGGAACTTGCGAAGAACTTCAATTTACTAATCGGGGTTCATCACGTGACAAGTGTAAAATGTGGCGAACAGAGACAAGGTCGCTGTAGTATTTATCTCTTGTTGCAGACATCGCCTATCTCATATGCCAGCTCTCCAGAAGTTCCAAAAATCCTCCAAAAAGCGGTCTGCACCGTCAGGAGGGGAACCTAAAGCCAAAAAAACCCATATCGCTAGTTCAAACGAAGTCGGTACAAAAGCAGGCGGCCGCGATGTAGTGGAAAAGACCAAGAAACGCAGCAGACCAGTAACTTTACCAGTAAAAGTGGATAGCGAAGGAGACTCAGAGGACGATGTGGATGCAGACGACTTTGAAGAGGACAATGAACTCGAGGGGGAGGTGGAAGATAATGGGAAAGATGATGCTATGGAGGTCGATCATACGCAACCTAAAAATCCTAATGGCAAGTTTCCTGAGATCGTCTGTTGTTGGAGCTTTTTTCCCTGTCGGTGCTTATGGATATCTCTTATAGCTGCAAGGGAATCTCATAAAGCTCAACGAGTCCTTCAGGAGCAGCGCCGGGCTGCTAAACCGCACTCAGTACTTCTTACGGACGCAAAACGCGTGTGGTCACTTGCTCGCCAAAAAAACATCCCAACGACGGAGCGACAAAAGCATATACATGATCTCATGGATGTCGTAAGGGGGAAGGTCAAAGAGCTTGTGCTAAAGCATGATGCAAGTCGTATCATCCAAACCATTGTAAAATATGGAGGACAGAAGGAAAGGGACGAAGTAGCGGGCGAACTCAAAGGCCACTATAGAGATCTTGCACAGAACAAGTATTCGAAGGTTAGCAATTCGCGCTCGACATCGGAAATGAAGCACCAATTTTTTTCGCATTAGTTCCTAGTGACCAAGCTAATTCGACTTTGCCCAACACACCGACCATCTATCCTTATGGAGTTTCAATCTCATGTTCTTCGCCTTCTGTTGCATCGGGAAGCCTCTAGCGTTCTAGCTGACTCTTTTGAGCTTTACGCAAATGCTTATGAACGGACCATACTACTTCGCGATTTCTATGGTAAAGAAACGGCTTTGTTTACTGTCACACGCGGAAGCGAAGAAGAGAAAGTTATGGCCAAGCAAGGTTTCCGTGGCGTTTTACAGGGAGTGGAAGGTGAACGAAGAAAGAGGATCCTTGTCGCACTCAAAGAAAATCTGATAACGATGTAAGCGCCCTTACCCTCAAAATTCCAACTGCTTCCAATTTTCTACCTGTAGATTCAATAACCCTGACAAGGGTGCAGTTACTCATGCTATCGTCCATCGTGCTCTCTGGGAATATCTCTCTGCGGTCAATGACATACCGGAAGAAACTGAGCGGGAAAAACTCCGCAAAGAAATGTTTGAAAGGTATTGTTCTTCTCATTATTGTACAAGGGGCTCTCTGACCCACTATATAGCTGTCAAGATGCCTTAGCCGAAATGGTACACACAAAAGATGGCAGTCGTGTTGTCAGAGAGCTCATCGCTCAGGGCACTGCAAAAGTTAGCCCTTCTCGCGTATCTTCATTTCACAAGTGCTTAGAAGATATATTAGGATCGAAAGCATATAGTCAAGACAATCAAGCCACATGTTGAACGGATGTGTATCGACGATGAGGCCCAGCTGGTACTTTTTACAGCACTGGATATTATCGAGTACGCATGAACGCTTTTTTTTCTGACCTTTCTTCTCATTATGTCCCAATCCCAGTGACACAAAACTCACGGCGAAATCGCTTGTGTCCGAAATCGCTTCACGCGCTTCTGTGCTCTCCACCACACCTCAAGGCAGGCGCTCACTCTTCTATCTTATTGTTCCACGCAGTAGACGACACTTCACTCCTGCGCAGACTGTCACTATCGCAGACACGGACAGCACAAGAGAAAAAACCAGCAAGAAGGAAAATAAGACCAGGGAAGCAGAAATCAGAAGTGCTGCTAGTGAGACTTTGTTGAAATTTGTAGAGGAAAGTGGGGCGGAGGTGGCAAGGGATACTGGAGGTAGTTTGGTCGTATTGGAAATCATGCTCTTTGCTGAAGGAGGTAAGTTTGACCTCTCCCTCGGATTATCCATTCCTTACCCTAGTTCTTGGACAGATAAAAGCTCGGCTTCAACCGCACTCCTAAATGCCTTATCGTCAACATATCCTTCCGAAGATCCTTCAAAGCCTCATCCCATTGACCTACCACATACATCCAGGATGTACAAAACGCTCCTACAAGGAGGTCACTTTTCACATACCACCAAATCAATATCGCTCTGTCCCGCATTTTCTCCATCAGCGTTTGCATCGGCCTTCCTCAAAGTGGTAGGTCAGGACGTAACTGTGAGCATGGCTAAGGGGGATGGTGCATTTGTCATCGCAGAACTGCTCGAGAGAGTTCAACAAGAAGGGAGAAAAGGAGAGAAAAGCACAGTCAAGGGATGGTTTAATCATGACGTGACTAGCAGTATCGAAAATTCTGATGGGAAGGGTAAAAATGTTCTTCTGGGGAAAATTGCAGCGCTATCATGATATTATGATATACAGCGCGTGTCGTCGTACAGATTTGTGCATTATGCTTTGATCCAAAACAACTCTCTAATGGTATTTGTTGAGGTGTCATCCGCCAGTAGCTTTTCGTCTTGAAGCTTCACTTAGTTTCTTCGAGAAATGTGTCGAAGGGTCGAAGTACATTGAATCATAGTGATGTCGTTTCCGTCTTTTCCAGATGATACTAGTTGCCTTGCTGGTGGCAGATAATAAGTTAGTCCATTATAAACTAAAACTCGTATTGATTACTGTGCGCAAGATATCATCAAACGACTCGAATCAAAATTAACCAGTAATACTGTCCATGATATACCCACATACATCTCATTATACGTGATAAAATATTTTCAACAAGTGAGAGATCAATCACTACAGACTTTTCTGTGCATACCGTACAAGACCCGAGAACAAGAGTTCTTCTCTATCAGAAAGAAGGAGGACAAATCCCTGCAGTCTCTTATGACCAGGATTGACGAAGACATGCATCGGATTCAAAATCTTCGTCCTAATGGCTTCTCATTGGCTGAATTGGACGATGAACTCACATGTATGGCCATGATTAGGGCGCTGACAAAACCGGATAAACCCGGTCTCTGCCGAAGCACCCATTGTTCTCCTAGGAGTCATTATACTGTAGTGAGTAGCACCTCCGACTATAAGTAGTAGGGGGTTTAGTATAGGAATACCTCATGACAAAACCGGATAAACCCAGTCTCTCCCGAAGCAGCCATTGTTCTCCATGGAGCATAGCCACCACTCCATGGAGTCACCATTGTTCTTCTAGGAGTCATTATACTGTAGCAAGTAGCACCTCTGACTATAAGTAGTAGGGGGTTTAGTATAGGAATACCTCAGTCTTTTCTATAGCCTCTCGGGCAGCGGCTGAGGTATGTTACATTACATTTATAAGAGATCACCTTAAACTAACATCTATTGTAGTTTCACTTAGGTAAATAATAAAGTCGTTTCTATAGCCTCTTGGGCAGTGGCTGAGTTTCACTTAGTATTATTAGGTTATGAGCCCTGGTGCACAAAAGCTACGCAGGAAATAATTTTTATTTGAAACGGCAACCTCGGAACCATGACCACAGCACACGATACATCCGCATGTCCAGTTCTCACTGGACCCAACAATTTTCAGATATGGAAACTCCGGATTATCTCAAAGCTACGTCGGGAAAAAGTTCTCCGGGTTGTTACTGGAGAGGAGCTTAAGCCCTTACCAGGAAAACCTACCTCCTTGGAGGATCCTGAGATCACCTGGATACTTAAGGATGAGAAGGCACATAGAATCATCCAGGACCACATCTCTGATGCCCTCCTAATGAGGACTGGAGACCTCACCAGCTCCAAGGAGTTATTTGATAAACTTGTCTCACTCCATCAGACGTCTAACATTGCCTCGGCCTTCTATTCATTCCAGCAACTCACCAAATTGTCCTGGGATGGGACATCACCTATCCAGGACCACATTGCAAAAATCTGGACAATTGATTCACACCTCTCCGGAATGAAACTGGGAGTTGATACCAAACTCATGGCCTTCGCTCTTCTCCAATCTCTCCCATGCACTCCTGAATGGCAAATATTTCAGTCATCAGTAATCAACACGATTGAAGAAAATAAACTTACCTTTGATGCAGTTGAGATCCGGATCACTGCAGAAGTTGCACGACAGTCAGGGAAGGCCCCTGGAGGTTCCGAAACAGCACTCAAATCCGAGGAGAAGTGGTGTGGCTTCCACAAAACCAAATCACACAACACCTTGGAGTGTCGAACACTTCAGTCAGCCGGAAAAGGTCAAAGGAAGAAGGGAAAGGAAAGACACAAGGATAAAGGAAAAGAGAAGGAAAAGGCAAATACAGCGGAGCAATCATCTGGATCTGACTCCAAGGAGGAACAGAGTCATATTGCATTGGAACATGTATATATTTCCAAGCCCCTTGCTAAACGCATTCAAGCTTACCTTGTGTCGGAACCCGATAAGACCAAAACAACAATTATTATTGACTCTGGAGCAACATCCCACATGGTCCCTCACCGCTCCTGGTTTGAGCCAGGAACATACCATGTTCTGCATCCTCCGAGGACAATCAGTTTTGGGGATGAATCCTCTGTAAATGCCATTGGCATTGGAACAGTAATCCTACAAGCAACTGTTGGCAAAAAGGACTACAATATTGCACTGTCAAATGTCTTACTTGTGCCAAACTTCACGTTAGCACTCGTCTCTGTCCACAAATTGTCCAGAACGGGGTTATCAACACTTTTTCCAGCGGGGTCAAACACTTGTGAAGTTCGGAAAAAGGAGGAACTTATCCTCACTGTAAGGACCGTTTTACTATTTTCTTATCTTTGTTATGTCTTGGTTCTCAGACGCTTTTCCCGTTACACCTCTGGCTCTAGGGCTAGAGGTATCCTTTGCCATCTTACTTCTCATAGCCCTCACAGGCTTTCTTAACCATCGCTACCACTTTATATCACAGATCAGAGACTGGGCATCGCTCCCAGCTAGCCAGCACACTGGGTAGAGACTGGTAGTAGGCATCTCGCCAACCAGCTCCAAGCCCTAGTAAAGCCTGGTAATACTAATAAACGCCTTATCTAGAATCGTACCTCATCATGAGGATACGGTTCCTGACCACGCGTAACAATCTTCTATTATTAGTACAAGTCTCTCACCTGCTGATTAATCAAGTCAGAAGTCGTACGATAGTTACTCTCCCTTTTTCCTATTGGTTGATTAATTCCTCAGACCACTTTTCGTATATTCTCCTTTCGGTCTGAGGAACGGACAGTTCTCTATATAAAGACGTACCTATTCATGTATAGCTCCTTAGCTTTCTATTACTGAATTTACCCGCTTTACTCCTCAACAAGAACCTTTGAAGCTTACCTCTCAAAGTCCTCGACTCGCTATATTTCTAGCGTCTGTTGACCTCAAGCTCATTGGACCCTTACTCCCTGCAAGTGCAGAAGGAGATAGGTTTAGTTCTTGTTATAGTTTATCGTTGCCTCACACTCACTGCCTTACACAAGCGAGGACTTTATCACATCCAAGCAAAACCCAAAATCAACCCGGAGTTAGCTTTTGCAGCAGTAGATGTAAATCTATTGCACAGGAGAATGGGACACATTGGAATGGACCGCTTGCAATGAATGGTTACAAAAGGACAGCTCCAGGACATAGACACCCTTACCGGAACCCCGGAGTTTTGTGAACCTTGTGCTTTAGGAAAGATGAAGAAATTACCTTTCAAGTCCACTGGAGGAAACCAAGCCAAGCGCCCCATACAAATTGTGCACACAGATGTTGGAGGACCAATCAAACCAACTTCCAGGGAGAGTTTTCGGTACTGGATTATCATTGTAGATGATTTCTCCAAATTTCCATGGATATATTTCCTAAAACATAAAAGTGAAGCACTGGAACGATACAAGCAATGGAAAGAAGATGTCCAAACATTCTTCCGGACTCATTTGGGAGAAGAAAACTTCACTCCACTATACACAGAATTCCTCCGGAGCGATGGGGGAGGAGAATATACTGGCAATGCATTCAAAAATCAACTCCGAGGAGATGGTGTCATCCAAGAAACTACAGCTGCAGATACTCCGGAACAAAATGGCATTGCAGAACGCATGAATCAGACATTGGCTACATTAGCAACCACTATGCTCCATGATTCTAAGCTCCCAAAGTCATTTTGGGTAGATGCCATGCAAACAGCTGCATATATCACAGCACACAGCCCAGCATCAGGACTCAATGGAAAGACCCCATATGAAATACTGTTTAAAAGGAGAGTTGATTGTTTTACTCCAAGGGGCGCAAAGCCATAATAATTGGCTACACACATGGAAAGCAAGCCTACAAACTCCTAGACACTGAAAAACGGACTGTGTTCTCCAGTCGGCATGTCATATTCAATGAATCCAGAAAGGTACAAAAGGATGACACTGCTCCCTGGAACACAGACACTAGCACAGATCAGTGGGAGGGACTCATTCCAGAGAATGCTCACTATCCAGACCAAAATACATTGGAGGATGATGATCCTGACCCTCGGATCCGAGATCCAAATGAATTGCAAATAAAACCACATCTCCAAGGAGATATTCCACAAGCAATGGAACCATATCAGCATGAAGATATTCTGAGAGCAGTGGGGCAATACCTTAGTGGAGACGTTCCAAAAGCAGTGGGAGCACCTGATCAGCTAAGACATCCTCCACAACAGTCTCTACAACCAAGACCTGAACACTGGCCATCTTCAGAACAGAAACCCAAAGTAGAGTCACAGTCAGTGGGAGGACAGCCCCTCAACATACAGCCAGCTGATGTGGAAAAAGTCCGGATACAGCTAAACAGCCTGTCCATTGGATCAGCTTCTGGAAGGCATACAACACCTCCGAGGAGTCATCCAACGCCTCCGAGGAGTGATTCAACACCTTCAGGAGTGAGTGGGGCAACGCACACACAAATGTGTCTACTCCCTGGAGTATCTGCACAAGTTCCTAAAAAAGCAGTCATGCCTGCTGAAGTCCTAGGAGTATGCAGAAGCAGTCGCCAGACCCGTCCTGCAGACAAAAACCGAGATTATCAAAGGACTCTAGATGAGGAACAGTCTCAGAAAGAACAACATGACAACTCCATGGAGAAACCTAACACTCCTGAGGTTCATGAAGAAACATCTAATACAGAGGAGATATTCTTTGCTGGAATAGCAAGTACTGGTCCATCTAACACAGACCTTCCAAGGACACTAAAGGAAGCCTTATCACGTCCGGATGGAGAATTATGGAAGTCTTCCTTGGAGGAGGAACTCCTAAGTCTCAATACTAATGCAGTATATGACACTGTTCCACTTCCGAAGGGAGTAAAACCCATCACATCAAAACCTGTGTTCCGGATCAAGTTTGATCAAAACAAAAACATTGAGAGATACAAACTCCGGATTGTTGCACAAGGTTTTACTCAAAGGGAGGGGATTGATTACCAGGAGGTTTTTGCTCCGGTTGCAAACTTAGAGTCAATCCGAATTATTCTAGCCCTGGCAGCAAAGTACGACCTAG